TATAGAGAACAGGATCCCTACACGTGAGGGAAGCAGTGTAGCTGCCTTACTCCCTGAGGTCTTCACTCGGCGACTTGGTGGCCACCACCACTGGGACTGTACTTGAAATCCTTAGCAGGTGGGTGGAGAGGCAGCTGGATGCGGTGGACGACAGAATTGGATGGTAAGAACCAGGATGGTTGCTATGATCTATGAGTTTTAGGCATACACATGCACGCATGTGCACACACAGGTTCAACCATCTTCTAGCAGGAGCGTGCACCTACAAACTTACCAGTGTTGAAGATTCTGCTCCACGCAGTAGCCTGATTGGACAATGTACTTTTTAGCTTCCGGTAGCACCTCCATCAGTCCTTTTCCCCACTGCTGGGGAGGCTTGCTGTTCACAGCATAGGCTGTAAAAAGAGCAGACACAAGGGCTCCCAGGAAGCCTGTGGGATGGTGGTGGGTCATCCGGCCACTCTCGACGCTCGCCTGGATCAGGGTGTCCAGCTGGCTGTGGTGAGGGAACCGGAGACCGATGCACATGGCCCGCACGGCAGCCCCGCAGCCACCCTCATGGCTGTTAAAGGGAATCCTCCAGCCATCGGCTTTGTCTGGCTCCAGCAGCATGGCGTTCTGCATTGAGGCGCCCCCTGGGGAGAGTCCGGTAGGGCATGGGGTCAGTGTACCAAAGCGAAGTCCCCACAGGATGAGAGAACCAAGCCCCATCTCCAGCTTTCCTTGATGGAAAGGGAAAGCCAAAAAGTATGATGATGAATGTCCCCAAACTCCAAACCCCAAACCCCAGGGCAACATTGTGCCTTACTTACACCAGAGTACTTATACTAGACGCCCCTAGGTTTATGGAGCAGGGAGCTTTTCATCAGGAGGTGCTATTGGCTGAATTGTATTCCCCAAAATTCATATGTTGAAGCCCTAACCCCTAGTACTTCGGAATGTGACTGTATTTGGAGATAGGGCAGAGGTGATGAAGTTAAAATGAGAATGTTAGAGTGGGCCCTAATTCAGTCTGATCAGTGTCCTAGTAAGCAGAGGAAATTTGGAGACACAAAGAGACACCAGGAATGTGTGCTGTGAGAGGGCACAGCTAGAAGGAAACTGTCTGCAAGCCAAAGAGAAAGGTCTCCTTCAGAAGAAATGAAACCGACACCTTGATCTCAGACTTCTGGCTTCCAAAACAGTGAGAAAATAAATGTCCGTTGTTTAAGCCAGCCGGTCTGAAGTATTTTGTTACAGCAGGTCAAGCTAACTAATACAGGAGGAGCTAGGGGAAAGGCGATTCACATCACCTGGTGGCCCAAGTGGCCGTAAAAAGTTCCCAAAGTGAGCAGGAACCACTTGTGAGCAACCTGGAACGAGAAAAGGGGTCTCTACACGACCTTTTCCAGTCTTCTTTAAAAAGAAAAAAAAAAATTCTTCATTAAAGAAAACTCAGAAGCTATAAATAAGTAAAACGAAAATAAGAAACTATAAATATCCCTATCACCCAGATACAATGATTAACATATTTGTGTATATTCTTCCAGACCTCTCCCAACAGAGATATACATATATACTTTTTTTTACATATATACTTTTAATGAAAATGGGTTCAGACATGAAATTGAGTTATTTACAGTGAGATGGATGGACGCAGAGTCTGTCATACAGAATGAAGTAAGTCAGAAAGAGAAAAACAAATACCGTATGCTAACACATATATATGGAATCTAAAAAAAAAAAAAGGTTATGAAGAACCTAGGGGCAGGATGGGAATAAAGACGCAGACCTACTAGAGAATGGACTTGAGGACATGGGGAGGGGGAAGGGTAAGCTGGGACAAAGTGAGAGATACACTACCAAGTGTAAAATCGATAGCTAGTGGGAAGCAGCCGCATAGCACAGGGAGGTTAGCTCTGTGCTTTGTGACCACCTAGAGGGGTGGGATAGGGAGGGTGGGAGGGAGGGAGACGCAAGAGGGAAGAGATATGGGGATATATGTATATGTATAGCTGATTCACTTTGTTATAAAGCAGAAACTAACACACCATTGTAAAGCGATTATACTCCAATAAAGATGTTTAAAAAAAAAAAAGAAAGAAAATGGGTTCATAAGATAGTGTTTTGTAACCTAATTTTTTTTACTTAATATACAATGTCTTTCCATATTGGTAAATAGTTATCTGCATAATTTAAATGGCTGCAGATGTGTCACCAGAATTAAATAAATTATAGAACATTCAGGTTGTTTCTATTTCTGTCACAACTATAAAAACTAATGTCTCCTTGATATTTAAATCTCATTCAACATTTTTTTTTTTTTTTTGCGGTATGTGGGCCTCTCACTGTTGTGGCCTCTCCCGTTGTGGAGCACAGGCTCCGGACGAGCAGGCTCAACGGCCATGGCTCACGGGCCCAGCCGCTCCACGGCATGTGGGATCTTCCCAGACCGGGGCACGAACCCGTGTCCCCTGCATCAGCAGGCGGACTCCCAACCACTGCGCCACCAGGGAAGCCCTCATTCAACATTTTTAATGATTTCCTTGGGCCTGTTTTATTCTCCACTTGCCCAGGACCTCCACTGGCTGCTCTCACCTGGTGCCCGGCCATTCATGTCTCCCATGCAGTCTTGGTAATGCTTAGCAAGGATGGAATACAGGCGAGCCAAGTCCGAGACTTTGCCGGCTTCCAGGAGAGCGTCTGCCGTGGCCAGGTGCATCACCGTGTCATCACTGACTCTCCACCTCTCCACATCTATGGCATCCAAGCCGCCAAGCTGGGCCAGCTGCCTGTGAATCTTTTCCCCATTCCGGAGGAACTCCCACTTCCCGTTGAAGTACCCCAAGGCATCTCCAGCTGCACTCAGCACCATGGCTGCCACATACTTCTTGATCAGTTCCCCGCTCATGGTGAGGCTGTCTCTGGGGGAATATAAAGACACACAGAGGATGGGGAGAAAAAAAAATCAGAAAAAATAATAGCCCTATCTACATTTTACTGAGCACTCACACCTTGCAGGCACAGTATTAAGGACATCTCATTTAATCCTCACAACTGCTCTACGGGGAGTGGAATAGGCCCATTTTACAGATGAGTAAATCAGCCACGCAGTATCAGAAATGTTATGTGAATTACCTTAGGTCACAGAGCTAATTAATGGCAGGGCTGGCATTCCAACTTAGATCCATCTGACTCCAAAGCCCACAATTTAACTACGATTCCATCTTTGCCTCTCCGTGAGTGGCAAGCCCATTAAATTCTGCAAGTCAAACCAAGCTTGTCATTTTCTCTTTTTGGTTTGAATTTGGCCTTGGAATGCATCCCTCCTTTACTTAAATATTAACACTTTCCATTGGTATCACAATGCACTGTTTGCAAAGCACCCGCACATCCTGCCTCACAAGTAGGCCCGGATTACAGTCTGCACTTCACAGATATTGCAGCACTATTTACAATAGCCAGGTCATGGAAGCAACCTAAATGCTTCCATCCAGAAGCATTATCCAGATGAATGGATAAAGAAGATGTGGTACATATATACAATGGAATATTACTCAGCCATAAACATGAACGAAATTGGGCCATTTGTTGAGACGTGGATGGATCTAGAGACTGTCATACAGAGTGAAGTAAGTCAGAAAGAGAAAAACAAATATCATATATTAACACATATATGTGGAACCTAGAAAAATGGTACAGATGAACCAGTTTGCAGGGCAGAAATAGAGACACAGATGTAGAGAACAAATGCATGGACACCAAGGAGGGAAAGCAGCAGGGGGGTGGTGGTGGTGGTGTGATGAATTGGGCGATTGGGATTGACATGTACACACTGATGTGTATAAAACTGATGACTAATAACCTGCTGTATAAAAAAATAAATAAAATTACAAAAAAAAAAAAAGAAAGCAGGGTCAGAGAGGGTAAATTCACAGAAGCAATAAATGGAGGCACTGGGACCCAAATCTTCTGATTTCCGGGCCCTTGCCTCAGCACAGACCTACTTACCTTGAGCAACTTCTTTGTGCTTCACCCTCCACACCTGTAAAGTGGTGGCAAAAACAGTAACAACCTCGTGGGTTTGTTATGAGGAGTAAGTGAATTAATTTTTATAAAGCACCTAGAACAGTGCTTCGCACATAGTAAGCAATATTTTTATTATGCATACACAACCAGGGAAAATGATTTTTCTATTAATTGAACTAGAAGACTGTACTTTCTCCCACAACCTTCCTTTCAACAGCAATATTTAAATTCTGTTTTCCTTCTAAATGATTGAGTTCTAGAGTCCTGGGGTCTCAGCTAACACTCTCTCCATGAATCTAATCCCCAGTAAAGTGCTGGTTTCCCTGTCGGTGCGTTTCCAGTTCCCCATTGTACCCTATAGCCTGTAGCGTTCACCTCCAAAGCCCTCCACTGTCTGCTCCCACTCTATCAGCCACTCTACTTGCCCCGGCCAGGAGAACACTTGCAAACGCTGGTGGGCCAGCTCATCCTCCCTCAGCTCAAGTTCTTTCCCCATCCAAGATGCCTTCCTCTCCTCCTCTTCCCTAAAATCTATTTACTCAGGGTTAAGTTCAAGTCCTTGGGCTTCCAGGAGTCCTCCTCCAGCTGCACTGCTGTGGGCCAGGAAATACAGACTGGCAAGCACCTGAGAAAAATGATGACAGACTGAGCAGACCATTACTGAGTTACTGATCATGCTGAGTTAACTGGTTCCCAAAGGCTATTTGTAAAACCTTACTTTTTTTTTTTTTTTTTTTTTTTTTTTTTTTTTTTTTTTTTTTTTTTTGCGGTACGCGGGCCTCTCACTGCTGTGGCCTCTCGCATTGCGGAGCACAGGCTCCGGACGCGCAGGCTCAGTGTCCATAGCTCACGGGCCCAGCCGCTCCGCGGCACGTGGGATCCTCCCGGACCGGGACACGAACCCGTGTCCCCTGCATCGGCAGGCGGACTCTCAACCACTGCGCCACCAGGGAAGCCCTACTTACATATTTTATTGTTTATAAATGATGCTTAGGAACTGGTGCTCTGGGCTGATAGTCCTGGCCCTGCCCAGAATCGGGTGTGTGATTGTGGACAAACCACCCATCCTGGATCTCAACTTTCCCATGGTAAATTGGATTGCAGGGCAGGAGGGGGGCTAGCGAGGCAGCCTGGGCTCCTGTCTCTGCGCTGAGTGCGTCAGAGTCCAAGCTTAGTTGGCTTCTGAAGACCAATCTTTAACCCTCTATACCCTCTTCCAAAGTCCTCAGCTTCTTTTCTGTAATTCCTCTGGCTCCACCCGAATGTGTTTTTATGAGTTTTGAGTGAGGCTGGGAGCGATGACCACCTCGTTCTGTGGGGAAATTTCCTTTAGCTTTGACACCGTACTGCTCTGACCTCCCGCTCTCAGAACGCTGATATTCTCTAAACCCTTCTAACTTTTCCAGTTTATAGGCTCATCCCCGAACTATAAATTCACAACTGAGATCTGGGCAGCTGCTTCCCGGCAGTCCTCTGCTATTTTGCCGGGGGTGGGGGCAGTGGGGAGCAGGCGAGTGGGGAACAGGTCCAGGCCCAACAATGGGTGGGGGGTGGCCCCCGGGGCACCGCGGGGGAGGAGCGCGCGGGGGACGCGGGCGAGGAGGGTGGGGAGGAGGGGCGGGCGGCACTGGTCGCCGGCAGGCTAGGAGCGCGGGTGTGGGAGCCGACAGCGGGGAGCGGTACCTGGTGGCCGCGAGGCGGGCACGGCGCGCGGGCTCAGGGTGGGGCCGGGCGCGGGGAAGTCTGGGTGCGAGGAGGCCCAGGGCGGACTCCGCCGCGGCGCCCGCGGATCACGCCCAGGTTCAACGGAGCTGGACGAGTGCCGGGCGCAGCTTTCGGCTCGGGCGAGGCGCGGAGCCTTCTGCGCCCGAGCCGGGCGGCGGGACCCGCGTCACCGGCGCCCTCGGCTCCGGAGGGCGCAGGGGAGCACCAGGCGCCGCGAATTGGCGCTGCTCCGTTCCCCCCACCCCCTCTTTTGAGAGACTGTTGGAGACTCACGTGTAACCCCGGGTTGACCCCTCGGCCTTTCCTCCAGTCCAGCTCCTCTGGGCAGTGAACAGCGTGTGGCCCTTGACTCGGAAAAGGATGTTTAGTGTGTGCGCGGCCTTTGTCACGGTCCGGGCCCCTCACGCATAAAATGGGACAATAATAGTACCTACCTCTTAGGTTGGTTGTTAGAATTTAATTAATTTTAACTCTTGTCATTTGTTTGGTTGCAGAATAGAATTTTTTCATCCTGATAGCAAAGAAAAGCAAAGAAAAACTAAGAGTATTTTTGTCTGAATAAATAATATCATCTGAAAAATACTAGAATCACCATATGCAAGTATTATATATACTTCTCAAGAATTTTGATTTGCTGTGCTTACCTTTCTCGCTACAGGCATTAAACACCTACTGTGTACCAGGTGGATGCTAGGTCCTGGCACAGACCTGCTGTCATGGACTGCACCCAGCTGAGTGATCTCATCTTAGCCTGTTGATTTGTTTTTTAATAAAATGTTCCTTTTTTATGATAAAAAATAATGCATACTTCCAGTAGAAAAGTTGAGAAAACTTTTAGAAATCTCTCTTAAAAAACACATCTCTCAGGGACTTTCCTAGTGGTACAGTGCTTAAGAATCCACCTGCCGATGCAGGGGACACGGCTTGGAGCCCTGGTCCGGGAAGATCCCACACGCCAGGGAGCAACTACACCCGTGAGCCACAACTACTGAGCCCGCGTGCCGCAACTACTGAAGCCCACGTGCCTAGGGCCCGTACTCCACAAGAGAAGCCACCACAGTGAGAAGCCCGCGCACCACAACAAAGAGTAGCCCCTGCTCGCCGCAACTAGAGAAAAGCCTGCACGCAGCAACAAAGACCCAACGCAGCTAAAACTAACTAACTAACTAAGTAAAAACTCTCATGTGTTCACAAAGATAAATGTTTCTGGATTTCTTTGCAGAATTGTTTCTCATAGCAGAAAATTGGAAATAACCTCAGTCTCTGTTTAGAGTGGAGAATGAGTTTCCTTCTCCTAAATTAGGGCATAATTATGAATAAATTATTCATAATTATGAATTATTTTAATTACCTTTCCAAAAAGGTAGACATTTAAATCAGTAGACTTTGGGTAAATAATCAGGCTCACAAGGAAAGAGCTTGGAGACATTTTGTTAAGTAAAAAAATCAAGTTTTTGAGTGAGTAATATACATGGTCTATTTATGTAAGAAAAAAGAGCTCTGTGTGTGTGTGTGTGTGTGTGTGTGTGTGTGTAAAATGACTGAAAGAATACATGTCACATTGTTAGTAATGATTATAATTACCTCTCAGGATGCTAATGGGGGAGTTTGCTGGGAGTAGGGAGAGAGAGAAGGGGAAGTTTTTCACATTTAGAATTTTTCTTTTACATGTAGAAAGAAATTTTAGAAAGCACAGAAAAAAAAACACATTCCACCACTCAGATTCTAAATACTTACAATCTTTATTTTATGCACATTAAAAAGAAAAATTGGATCATTTTGTATATACAATTTTATATCCTTTTTTGTTAACCACTGAGCTTCACATTGTAAGCATTTCTCTGTGTCATTTGTGATAGTATCATTACTATAATTGAATCCAAATGTTCAGATAAGGTAATGCCTCTAGGGTAAACTCCCTTTCACGTTGATACCAAGAAATATGAGGCTCTGATGTTCAGTTCCTCTCCAACGATACCACGACCGAGGCTAGTTCAACAGAAGGAAAACAGAAGCACAGATAACTGAAAAACAGGAGATTAAACAAATCTTTGCCACTTCATGCGCCTGAATGTGTAAATACCATGCCACCATGCCTCATTAAGTCATGAGAGCTAAAATTAAAAAAAAAAAGAGCTAACAGGAAATGGTTAATAGACAGGGCCCCTTGAACTCTGCAGCAAACGCAAAATAACAAAACATTTCAAAGGAAAAATGGACCACAGAA